GTTCCTGATGGTCTACAGGAGATTTGAGTTGTGTCTAAATGATACATAAAGAACTGTTTTAGTGGGAAATAATTTAGTTAGGCAAAATTTCACATAAATAAAATCGTTTTGATTAAGCTTTTCACTTTGTAACAGGTTTCTTTGGTATTATAAAAACCATTAGGGTTTACTTAGAAATCACCAAGGAAAAATTTGACATTTCCCTGAGATAATGTGGATACCTATTCATATAAGTTATCTTCACTAAACACTTTTTTTGTCCTTAATTTTTTGGCTTGATCATCTACATTGACCAAATTTATTTGTTATTGATGTTCTGACTTATTCAATATTATTCTTGGTTACACATATCCAGATATTTTATATTCTTGAGCAAAATTAAAAAAAAAACATTCAACTTCAAAGCAACCAAAAATAGGGTCAAAACATTTCTAGCAGCAAAGTGAGTAGATTATAAGCACCTTCTAAAAAGCTGTGCTCTCCGGCTGGCTTTTTTCCACTATCTCCACTGTGACAGTAGTCTTAAGTTTCATCTAAAACATTTGTGTTTTGTTTATGGTCCATTGAGAAAATAAATTCCCCCAGGAGTAAAGGGCGCACTAGTGTGGTGCCATTGAGAGATGTGAACAGCCATAATATGTGTTTAATGAATTGCCATTACAAACTGGAATCACAGCTATTTAAAATGGCAACATATTTGTTCATTCTAACACGAAGAAACAAAATATACTTGACCATTTACACCTGTTCTTTAGGCTATGTTCTCCCCTTCAGTCTGAGGAGCACACGGAGAATGCAAACAGCATTTCACCTGAGGATGTTAGATCAGCAGAGGAGATACTGGCTGAGCACCAGAAGCAGCTGAGGTACCGGACACTGCCCTGTGGGCAGGAAGCTTCAGTATAGCTAAGGGAGCAGGGAGCACAGGCAGGATGAAAGGAAGAATACCTCTGCTTTCCTGGATTTGCAATTACTCCCTAACAGCTGACAGGACCATGCCTCAGTGCAGAATTTCTAAGGCAGATGGATACTAACTTTAACTATATAAATATGCATCTTGATGCATAAGGAGACTGAATGAACATTCTTGGAGTGTATTAATACACATACTTACATCTCCTCAATTTTCATGAATGCTTAGGACACAATTTACACATTTCAGTAGAGGTCAGAAGACGATGTTCTGTTTGAGGCTGATGAGTTGCAAAATGGGACTATCTTGAAAAGTCAGAGAACAGCAAAGGGTTCTGACTATCTTTGTGAGCTGGAGAAAAAGCAGGGCTTTTATAGGAAAAGGGGACATTGAAAACAAAAGTGGACAGGAATGAAATTCACCCACTTCATAATTGTACCCAGGGTCCACCTTTGCCTCAAAGTTTGGTAGCTTTCATGCCAAAAAATCCCAAAACAACAACAACAACAACAACAACCAAAAAAATCACACAAACAACAACAAATGCAACAACAAACCCAAAAAACTATCAATTTCCCAAGTCACAGCTCAGTTCACCCATTTACTTGACCTGTGTTGTACTGCTAATGTACTTATTTTTGAAAGCGAATCTGATGCTCAGAGGGAACATATTTTATGTATATTTTGTGTTCTTCAAGCCCCCCATATCACCCTACAGTCCTCATCCCTATCAGTCTATACCCAGGGGTATAAGAGTTTCTGATTGGTAAAACTGTGGCGTCTCTACTTCAATTATTTTGAATCCATCTTACTTTATACTCTTGTCATTCAAGTCCCTTGAATACTCCAAAATTCTTAATTCCTCATGCCCTAAAACTATTACCAGCTAATCATTCTGACTTGACCTATAACATATGCACACTCTATATATTGCTATGTCTATAAAATACACACACACACATACAGTTTCACCATAACATAGTGAACACTATGATTTTTACCTATGGCCATTCTCATGTTAACTGTAAGCTAGTTTAAAAATCAAGACATCAAATTTAAAGGGGAGGGGGGCACCTGGGTGGCTCAGTCAGTTAAGAGATCGACTCTTGATTTTTGACTCAGGCCATGACCTCATGGTTTGTGGGTCCAAACCCCACATCAGGTTCTGCACTGACACAGTGGAGCCTGCTTGAGATTCTCTCTGCCCCTCCCCTGCTCACTCATTTTTTCTCTCTCTCTCTCAAAATAAATAAAAAAATAAAAAGTAAAAAATAAAAATCAAGACATCATAAGGACAAAATAAATCTCAGCAATTTATTTTCCTTAACAAGGAGCCTAAACTATTATGAACCACAAATCCATGTGTACAGCCATATTAAAAATATTTTTGCCTAAACGAAGTTTCTCTGGAACAAATTGCTAGTGACTGTCGAGCCACTGAAGTTGTAATGCATTTCTGAAACACGTTATAATCATCAAACCTAAATATATCTCTAATTAAAACAAATCCTGCCATGAGTATGAAGATCAAAAGGAAAGTGCTCTTGATATATTGCTGTTCAATTTAGGCCTCCACCTCTTGTGCAGAAATCTCCCAGAGATACTGCAAATCCATTAGAGTCTGTTACATGCTAAAGCTTCTAGTTTAACTCCAATCACCTGTGTAAAATCCTGGATTATAAATCACTGCTGAGATCTATGCCCAGGAACCATCTAGCTGTATTGTTTATGAGAGGGCTTGGAGGAGGGTGTACTGAGCAACATCTTGAGTGTTGACTGATCAGAAGATATAAATGACATTTCCAAAACAATGAGTGACTATTTTCAGCACTTTTCATTCGATGTGCAGAAAATAGGGAGAATCATATTCCTTTAAAATAAAGCCTGCAAAGTGCCTCCCTCTAATTGTTTTGCTCAATAAAGACTGTATGAAAAGCTTTTTGACAAATTTGAAGTTCTTTAAAAATGTATTATTACTACTATTATTTTGCTTTAAATATTGCACACGTAACTTTTCATTGCCTACTTTTATATACCTGTGCCTTTGGTTTTCCATTTAGCTTCCTGAATTTCAGTGTTAATTTCTTCCTAAAAATGTTAACATATACTGGTATCTTTGATACCACTGTCATTTTTCTTATTACATTATATTGACCAGTCTATTTATTTCTTCTACCGGATCCTGTAGTTAAATCCACTTTTTAAAAAAATCCATTTTAAAATCCACCCAATTTTTAAAATTGAGATCAGCCAGGACAGCTTCTCCAGGACTGACCCCTGGTGTCTCTGCCATTGAATCCTGCAAGCTAATCATAAGATGATGTCTGGTAACAGTAAGAAGGTCTATGATTTCCTAAATCTGATTTCCATGCAGAAAATTTGGAAAATTTTAGCTTTCATTTGAAAGTCAGTATTCTTTTTTCTTCTGTTTTTTCTCTTCTTCTCTCCTTCTTCTTGTAATTTCTTAATTCTCTTTATTCTTCTGTCTCCACCCACCTTCCCTGCTTACTCTTCTGCCTTCTCCTTGTCCCATTTTAGAAGGCTGCCTAGCTGCTGCATTTTCTTTTGAACAAAAGCTACCCAAGAGTGCTTTGTGAGAACTTTCACAATATTAAAAAAAAATCCCCATTTAGTGTTTATGTAGGATGCACATGAAGGAGAAGGGCAACGTCAGCATATTACCTTGGCCATTTAGATACGGTGGGGGTCAAAGACTGAAATATGGGGCACAGAGACAATGAAATCATTTAAACATAGAACATAAGTCAGTAAAAAGGAGTGTCTCTTGTAGTTTCTTTGTGGCAATGCACCAAATAACACCGCAAATAATAGAGTGTTTCATCTGTAGATCATTTAGTGTATATATGTATGTATGTGGATACACACACACATGCACACACATATATAACTTATCTGAACAACTAGATGTAGACTAATGAAGGGCAGGTTCCATGCCTCAAACCCTTCAAAACACCACAGTTCTTCATATACATCAGGCTATTAGAAAGGGTTTGAGTGAAATATAACAAATCATTATGAAATTGGTGACTACCCCAAAAACACTGACTATAGTTGCTTCATATTACTATGAAACAATGAGTTGAAACAATACAAATGAATTTACATACAGATACAAGGACATATAACAAATACACATACCCCCCAAAAGAAAATTATATGATACTATAGAACTGAAGATCTATGCAAATATACAAGAGAAAAATTATCTTAAAACATATTCATGTAGAAAAACCAATTAATTAATTAGCTTGCAAGATACCTGGTAACTTTAAAATAATCAAATATATCTTTATCATTTTCGGTAACCTAAGTTTCTAGCAATTGATGATAGTGAATTAGCACCCTGTGAATAGCTGTGCAATTAATATTTATAGTGAGATTTTGACTTACGTGTACTTGGATAAGTCATGTTATTAGACTTATACTTCATGCTTCTGTATCTCTGAGGTGACAGTACTACTTGCCTTCTCATCTACCTCCTCCTCTGCAAATAAATGAGGTAATGTTTGGGAAGTGTTTGCAGCCTGGGAAGGAAACCCACTGCATACATCTCAGGTGTTAGTACTATTCCACATTCAAGCCTGGTATATTAGTCCCTCTGTTTTAAATTGGGACTAATTTACTGTTTGAGTTCTTGGGTTCTCACCAAAATCTGGGTCAACATAAGAAGATGATTATTTTTAATTTTAATTCTGAGGCTCTGTTCACATCCCTTGCACGTGTGAGGGAAAACTGTAGCAAATAAACAAAGCACATAAATCAAGCTTTGAAAGAGAAAAATCTCTATCCAGAAGGATTTTTCCCCCCCAATAAAGAGCATGAACACTGTATTTCCCTGGAGGAATATTTCGGTCCAGGAAGGAGGATAGTGCATGCAGTGTGAGTGTGTGTGCGCGCGTGTGTGTCCATGTGTGTGTGTATGTGTGTGTGTGTGTGCTGTGCGTGCGCGCCCGCGGAGAGAGGGGCGGGGGAGGCGGATGAGGAGGATGAGATCATAGTTTCAGGATCCTCAGGAAACCCTGGTACTGGCAGCAGCCAGCCTCTGCTGTGCCCACATGACCCACAACTCTGGCAGCGGACCCGGCACTTCCAACATTATTAAATAATAAGAAAGAGGCTCCTACTCCATGCCCAAACCTCCCTGCAGACCAATGGACACCTTCTAAGAGTTTGGCGAGTCGGTGACTGAGGCGCCCGTCCATTCCAAGGTGTGTGTAAGGCGTTTTCCTCCCTGACAGCTCCGGGATGGGGGAGGGCGCGGGGGTGGAGGGGGTCCGTGTGCCGGGCGGGGAGTGGGCGCCGGCCGGGCCGCCGAGCGCTGCCCCCCGGGCCGCCCGGTGCGGCGGAGCGAGCGGCGAGGCGGGAGATGCACATGACGCGCAGCCCGAGCTGCGCAGGGACCGCAGCCGCCCACGGCGCCGGGGCGCGGGCACAGGCGGCTGGGCTGCCGGAGCAAGGGCAGGCGCCGCGCACCGACAAAGTCAAGAGTGGAAGCGGGCGGCGAGCGCCGGCTGCGGAAGGGAATCGCCCCAACGCCCACTCGCGGGGTTCCCACCTGTGCGCGGGCGCCGGCCGCCGCGAGCGCCAACCATGTGCCGGGCGCCGCAGCCAGGACTGCGGCGCGGCGCCTCCCCGGGCGGCGGGCGGCGCCTCGGGCCCGCGGGGCGGCGGTAGCGGCTGCGGCAGGATGGCCGGCCCGGGGGCGCGGGGCCGCGCAGGTAAATCTCGCCCGCCCGCGGAGGCCCGGCCGCGTGCCGCAGCCCCCGCTGCCGCCGCCTTGCCGCGCCGCTCCCGGGCTGGCGATGGCAGCCGGCTCCGTCGCGGCGCGGGTCGAGTTGTTTTTGTTGTCGGTGCTGCGCTCCGGGTCTTCCTCGCGGGCTGAGCGGTTGGGAGGTGGCGTGGCCGCCTCCACTGTGGACGGCATTCGCGTTGGGGAGCGGTCTGGGGGAGGGGGGCGGGTATCGACCGGGAAGGCTGCGATGGGTCCCTTGCAGCCGGCGGCGTCTGCGCGTGTTGCAATGCACTGCGGTTCCCCGGGCGGATGCCGAGTGGGAGTGGGCGCTCGGCGCTGGGGGGCGGCAGGCAGCGGATGTGGGCTCGGGTGGGGGGGCGGTGAGTGGCCCCAGCTTTTATAGCCTGTTGCCCATTTTGGAGTTTTCCGCTGGACAGAGGGCGGATGGAAGGTTCTTCCTGATGCCTGGAGTGGGAGACGGAGAGGTGTCTGTCAAAAGACCAAAGGCAAGGAGAGAAGGGTGGCCCGACGGCGGTGCTGGGCTCAATGGTACCATTCCTGGGACTCGGTAGTAAAACTTTACTCTTTGGCAGGCTTGGGGTATCGCTGTGAGAAGATAAGTGTGGAGCCCGGAGGGGGGGGGGGAAGATACTGGATGTGCACTTTCAGCGCAGCTTACTTACCACCATTAGGTTCATTCTTGCTTTGAAAAACCAAAATGGTCTTTTGAGTTGATCTTTACGTTCAAGTTTTCCTGTTCTGTATTAGGATCACTTGGGATGAACGTGTTTGTGTTTCCATTTGAACATAACAGAAGCCTATATTGTATTAATTTCTTTTACAAAAAATACTTCTCTTGCTTATTCCAAAGGTAGAAACTTTAGGGAAAAAAACCCCACTCTCCTTCTGTTCCAGGTTTAGTTCTGTATGCTTTCACTCATTTAATTCTTACAGCAACATCAGGGTTAGCTAATAATATTATCCACCTTTTATAGTTGAGGAAATCCAGACACAGGTGAAATAACTTGCCTAAAGTTGTACAGTTGTTAAATGTTATAGCCCAGTTGGGCTCTCAGTGTACTCTTAAGCGTCTTATATACATATATATGTTGGCATGTATATGGTACCCCATTGTAACTAAAATCTTCTCTGTTTCATATATTGACTACATTTCTCTACCAACATCAACACTGTAATTGTGTGCTAGGCATTGGACACAATGTTTTCTTCTTCTTCTTCTTCTTCTTCTTATTTTTTTAATTTCTAGGAGAGAGAGAGACAGCGTGAGCAGGGGAGGGTCAGAGAGAGAGGGAGACACAGACTCTGAAACAGGCTCCAGGCTCTGAGCTGGCAGTCAGCACAGAGCCCGACGCGGGGCTCGAACCCACGAATCCCGAGATCATGACCTAAGCGAAAGTTGGACGCTTAACCGACTAAGCCACGCAGGCGCCCCTGTTTTCTTCTTTTTAATACCATTATTAAAATTGGATTATAAATATAAATTATAGCAAAAACGCTTTGACTACTTTTGTCACAATTAGCCAACTTTCCTACAACAATATAGACTAAAGTAGGATTTACCAGCAAAGTTAAGATGTTCAGCAGTTAAGATTATCAGCCAAGTAAATTATTACAAGGCTGATGGCTGAATTGATACATTCGTTTTCACTTAATTTTAAACTTCCTAAGGTGTTAGTCTGTTCTTTGCTCAAAATATGGCCATCCTTTTCTTCAGAGTACCAAAATATTTTAAAAAGTTTAATCATCTTTAATCCAGTCACTCTGACAAGAGGTTAGGCAGCTTTGAAAGAATTCTGCAATTCTCCTTCAATTATCAGTGATTAAAAGCAGGTTATATTTTGAGGCCATTTGTGTATGTCTATACCTTTTAGCCAATTGTACGTGCCTTATATAAAGTCATGTAGCTGTGAAGATTGAAATAAAAATTTCTCATTAGTTCTAAGTTGAAATATGTTAAAAAATCTCCACTTGCCTTACATGAACCGTGAAGAGAAGAAAGATCTCAATGGGGGAGACTCCAGACTGCACACATTTAGAGAATGACTCTTCATTTGAGCTTCTCATTGGAGCTTTCATAATATTCATTTTATTGGACGAATGTCTCTCTTAAGTCTTCATCTGTTACTTTTGTCAAGTAAATTTAATTGCTCCTTCACATGCCAGTTTCAAATTATTTTGACATTCATAGATTTCCTTAATTCTTGTCTCTCAATTTAATTAAATTCAGTATACATATTTCAAACCCACAATTATTCAACATTGTAAGTGAAAAGACTAGAATCCAACGGAACTACATGGAAACATGTTCTTTGGATGTGAGAAAAAAATCCCATTCTTCAGTGGTTAACCTCCTCCACACCCCAAAATATGGCTTCAGTTTTATTTTGGGGATACCAAAGTCCAGAGAGCTGTGGTCAAAACAGTTGCCTGCCATCAAACACAGTGTTTTTTTTATATTGAAATTTGAATTTGAACTTTCCCAGTCTATTTATATAAAATGTTGATTGTTATCAAGGTGTAAATATTATAATACATGAGTATAACCTTTCTTACCTGACTCAGAACTGTTCCAGTTTTCTAACCTCTGTTACTTATTTTAGAGAAAGCATTCCTTTGCTACTTCTACTTCACCTGGTGGATTTAACATGACATTTTGTTTTCAAGTCCCAGCCCTCCAGTTTGGGGAGAACTGTAATGTCTCTGCTTTCTGGGAGTCTGTTTCAGGTGCTGGATGGGGAAGTGGGGATTGACGGGAAGCAGAAAGATGAGTGAGCCCTGCCAACATGGGGGCGGGGAGGGTGTCAAGCTTTAATAAACTAATTCTACAAACAAATATTTATTTGCAAGTTGAGGTAAGTTCTCTGAAAGAAAGAATTCTGAAAGAAAGAATGTGCGATAGAGGATTGTGCCCCAGCCAGAACAAGATGCCCTAGCAGTCACATATTTGTGGAGGACTGACATATGAGGAGGTGTTTACTAAGTTAACTGACTTCCTAAATGCTTTCATAAATCTTTTCTGAATTATTTTCTGAATTGGAGACCTTTGCTCCACTCTGATTATCACTATGCTTCTCTATTCACCAGGAGCAATACTATTTACCCTCATTATTCATCTCGGAACATGGTGGGGTTTACAAAATTCTCAATACCTTTTAAAGCATGTAGAGCGTGTGCTACCCTAATGTGGTTATTATTATATATGCAGAAAGATATTTAAGTTTAGTGAAATATAATCCCTTTCTTTATTTGCCTCAACAATTTCTTTTGAATTTTAAAAACTAGTGGTATGTGTGTGTGTATCTATCCGTCTGTCTGGTAGTTGTTAAAGTGGCAGAATGCCTCAAAATAGAAATGCAATTGATTCATCACACAGTCCCTAAGACGCTCTAAAGTGTCCAAGGGAACAGAAAAGGCCCCAGAGTAAGGGAGGTGGTATTAACTGATGAATATGCTGGGGACATATGTATTAACAGTTGAAGTTTTATTTTGTTTATTTTGAGAGAGAGAGAGAGAGGGAGGGAGGGAGGCAAGGAGAGAGGGAGACAGAGAATCCCAAGCAGGCTCCACACTGTTAGCATGGAGCCAGATGTGGGGTTCAAACTCAGTAACTGTGAGATCATGACCTGACTCAAAATCAAGATTCGAATGCTAAATCAACTAAGCCACACAGGCACCCCTGTATTACAATCTAAAGCAATTTAAGTTTATTGAATATTTACAGTGTGCTGGGTATTCTGCGGGCTATATAAAAATTAACTTGTGTATTCTTCACAATGGCTGAGAGGTCTGCCTGCATTACCCCACCTTCATTTTATAGAATGGGAAACTAAAGCATGAAGAGAACAATAATCATGACCACTGGCACAGAGGTAGAGATAAACCCTAAATTTAGATATTCTTTTTTTTTTTTTAACATTTTTTAACATTTATTTATTATTGACAGACAGAGAGAGAGAGCATGAGCATGGAAGGGGCAAAGAGAAGAGGAGACACAGAATCAGAAGCAGGATCCAGGCTCTGAGCTGTCAGCACCGAACCTGACACGGGGCTCAAGCTCTCAAACCACGAGATCATGACCTGAGCCAAAGTTGGTCACTTAACTGACTGAACCCCCCAGGCACCCCTCAAATATTCTAATACTGTAGTTCACACTGTTAACTATCAATGTGTAATACCTAATTCATAGTTTTACTATTGTGTTACATTCCCATCATCTTTGGAAATAATAACACTTCCTAATTTAAGCCTTTGGTTACTTTTCCCTTAATAAAATCAGTGAGGAAAAAATATAACTTCCTTTATGACAATCCTTTTTGCCCCATATTTTACGGGCAAAATATACATAAAACAAGAAGAAATATATCACTTCCTAGGCAAAGACCAGTGACTGCTAGATTATGAGAAATGTATTATATGTTATATGATTTTAAATTCAAAAAATAGTCATTTGAGCAG